ACTGATCTGAACGCCGCGAGATGCCGAACCTGCACCTGCCACTTGACGTCCATGTCAGTCCCACACTGAATCCGCGAAATTAAGTGTTTCGAGTAAAATCCAGGAAAGGGGTTTTGAGTTCTCAAAAAGGTTGTGGGAGGTCAAACGGTGTGGGTGAGTCAACGAGCTGACCTGGTCTCCAATTGTGTGTAGTTATTTGGCACAGGAAATCACCCTGGGACTGAGGTATTCGACTCGAACAGCCCAAAGCGCTCCAAGTTGGCGATCTGCAGCAGGCGAGATCTTACAATTCCCAAGTTCCTGGGAGCAGCCCCGGATCGTCCAGGTTCGTATCTGGGGTTCCATCAGCTCCTCCGCTTTCTGGGGTCTGGGGGAGACTTGTAGGCATTGGCACCGTCCAAGGCCGCCTGTCACCGAGCCGAATCCCGTTTCCGCACGCATTCCGCACAATGTGCCTGCTATGGAGCAGTCGACATTGCCATGCCGTGCACTTCATTGGAGAAGGCGGTCTGGGGGATCCCGAGGCACTGGCTGTGAGACCCGAACTGGGAACATCGACATCATGGGGGCGGCTGACCTGCCTCCGATAAGCTGATAAAGGGCTGTGATCTCACCGTTTGTGCCGTTTATGCCGCGGACAGCCGAGCTGTTTCGCAACTCTCTCTCGGGGACAGTCCTCGCACCAAGGGGAGGAAGCGTCGAGACCAAGGCAATTGCCCAATGATCTGGCTTGCAATGGGCATCACGAGCGCTGGCTGCCAGAGGGGCGCCGTGGAAGCCGTTAACTTTACCTAAACCGGCCATCGGGCCGTTGCGTAATCCTGACTTGCATTTGTTTTAAAAAGCCAAAAACATGCCCCCGTCTAGGTGCTCAACTTTCCTTGACTGACCACTGCCATCGGCGTCTCGAGTTGCAGCAATCGTATCTTTGACTGCGGCCAACCGAGTTTACAGTCCACCATGGCCTTCAGTGCTGCCCACCTCCAGCTCTGGCTGGGGTTGTTAGTGATCAGCGGCTTCCTCTATGTAAGTCATTCCGAAGAGGGTCACGTTTATCATTGAACATGAACGCTGACAGTATTTTCCACTCTGCTAGACAACATGTCTCGTCGTCTACCGGCTCTTCTTCCACCCCCTTGCCAAGTATCCCGGCCCCTTCCTCGCCAAGCTCACCGATGCCTACATGCTCTACTACGCCTGGAGGGGCGACCGCCACCTCGAGTTCTGGCGCATGCATGAGAAGTACGGCAAGTTTGTGCGTTTCGGGCCCAACTCGCTGTCGGTCAACTCCAACACGGCCCTGAAGGAGATCTACGGCTTCCGCGCCAACGTGCGCAAGGCCGAGTTCTACGACGCCTTTGTGCACCCGGCCCCGAACACCCACAACGCCCGCGACAAGGACCTGCACGCCCGCAAGCGCCGCGTCCTGTCGCACGCCTTCTCCGACGGCGCCATCAAGGAGGTTGAGCGGTACATCCTCGCCAACATCCGCACCTTCTGCGAGGCCATCGGCGACTACGGCCGCGCCATCCAGGACAACAAGGGCTGGAGCTCGCCCAAGAACATGTCCGACTGGTGCAACTGGCTCGCCATGGACATCCTCGGCGACCTCTGCTTCGGCAAGGCCTTTCACATGCTCGACCGCCCGGACAACCGCTACGCAGTCGACCTGGTCGGCGTCGCGGCCCAGCGTCACCTGCTTGTAAGTTCCTCAGATACGTTCTGCCCTACCATCCCTCTGACAGCCCCAGTGCGGCACCATGCCCATCATCAACAAGCTCTCGCTCGACAAGATCCTCTTCCACAAGATCTCGGCCGGCCGCGCCCGCTACATGGCCTACTCCCGCGCCCAGCTGACCGAGCGCACCGCCCTCGGCGACGAGACGGACCGCCGCGACTTCTTCTACCACCTCCTCAAGGCCCGCGACCCGGAAACCGGCCAGGGCTTCACCACCCCCGAGCTGTGGGGCGAGTCCAACCTGCTCATCATCGCCGGCTCCGACACCACCTCGACGGCCATGGCCGCGACCCTCTTCTACCTCGTCCGCCACCCGGCCGCCCTGGCCAAGGCCACCGCCGAGATCCGCGCCGCGTTCGCGTCCCTCGAGGACGTCCACCACGGCGCCACGCTCAACTCGTGCAGCTACCTCCGCGCCTGCATCGACGAGGCCATGCGCCTCTCCCCCTCGGTCGGCGGCCTCCTCCCGCGCGAGGTCCTCCAGGGAGGCATGACCATCGACGGCGAGCGCGTGCCCCAGGGCACCATCGTCGGCACCCCGCACTACACCATCCACCACAACCCGGCCTACTACCCGGACCCGTTCGCGTACCAGCCCGAGCGGTGGCTCGTCTCCGACAACAACAACAACACCGAAAAGAGCGGGATGGCCGGCGCGACGACGACCGAGGCGCAGGTGGCGCTGGCGCAGAGCGCGTTCTGCCCCTTCTCGATCGGCCCGCGCGGCTGCATCGGCAAGGGGCTGGCATACGTCGAGATGGGCATCACGCTGGCGCGGGTGCTGTTCATGTACGACGTGCGCAGGGCCGCCGGCGTGCCGGACCCCGCCGAGGGCGGCAAGCCCGGCGCCGAGTGGGGGCGCGACAGGGTCGGGGAGTTCCAGCTCGTCGACACGTTCACGAGTCTGAAGGACGGGTGCATGGTGGAGTTTAGGCGGAGGGAGTTGTAAAAAGGGTGCAAGTGGTGAATGGTGACTGGGATGGGATGGGTTGGGGAGTCATGAAGCGGAGTTTGCCTGCCTTTGCCTTGGCTTGTTGGGAGATGGGTCTGCATGTACATAGCGAATGGGGGGAGGTCTAAAATGCGATTGTGGTATTAGCAACGTCCGTCCGACCATATGACTTTGACTGGTGCTTTGAGGTTCCATTCGTGGAGAATCTGGGGCACGGTTGACTTTGGTATTTGGCAAAACACCCTTGGCAGATCCGGCAGATGTCCGATTCCAAACTCAACCTTGGAAGTTTACCATGGACCGACGCATTTGTCGCCATTTCTTCAAGACAACAATGCTCATGTCAAAAAGCTGGAGTCTTTTTGTCTGACCTAGACGTAAACCAAAATGATTTATGGGGTGTGCTGTCGAAACACAGCATCGACTTTCATTCAGGGGTACAAGCCCCCCACTATACCACAAGAACAATGAGACGTATCAAACCTGTCTATTTCTTTTTTCATTCGACAAGGCTCTCTTGATACTCTCCAACCTGGAGATTCCCATCTCAACCTTTCTGCTGCTCTCTTCGAGCTCGTTTCCCGGTGCACTCCTTTCTGGCTGGCGCTGTTCCTTTCCTCGGCCTGCCTTCACCCGAATACCGACGCGCAGTAATTAGCCGAATTGAGCAGTCACAATACTTGACTTAATCTATCACATGTGCCATCCTAATGATACTTGCCAGATTCGGCGTGTTTCCGCCGCTCCTTTAGCATGAGGAGAAGCTCATAACCGCCACGGCGGGCAGTCTCCTCGTGATGTCTCAAACCCGGACCTGTGATTCGTTTCCACGGCCGTCCCTGAGGAGTTGGGCTGTTGACCATGAAGCCTGTGCTCGCCCTGTTGGCGCTGGCCACCCTCGGCGCCGCCGCCCCAGGCTCGCAAGCCACCCACGATGAGCTATCCAACCGCGCCGCCTGGCCCAACGGGCCCTTCGTGACCTCCGGGCGCTGGATCCTCGACGCCTCCGGGAAGAACCTGACCTACGCAGGCACCAACTGGCCCGGCCACGCCGACGTCATGATCCCCGAGGGCCTGCAATACCAGTCCATCGAGACCATCGTCCAAAAGATCAAGAGCATCGGCATGAACGCGGTCCGCCTGACTTTCGCCATCCAGATGATCGACGAGATCTACGCCAACAACGGCAAGGACATCACGCTCCAAAAAGCCTTTGTCCAGGCCCTCGGCCAGGCCAACGGCACGCGCGTGCTCAACCAGGTCCTCGCCAAGAACCCGCGCTTCACCCCGTCCACGACGCGGCTGCAAGTCTTTGACGCCGTCGCCGACGCGCTCGCCGCATCCCAGATCTACGTCCACCTCGACAACCACATCTCCAAGGGCATGTGGTGCTGCTCGGGCACCGACGGCAACGGCTTCTGGGGCGACACCTACTTCTCCCTCGCCAACTGGACGCGCGGGCTCGCCTACATGGCGGACCACGGCAAGGGCTGGCCGGCGCTCGTGTCGCTGGGCCTGCGCAACGAGCCGCGCGAGCCCACCTCCAACGCCGCGCTCGCCCGCTCCAGCTACAACTGGCAGACGTGGTACGCCGCGATGCGCCAGGGCGCCGACGCCGTGCACGCCGCCCACCCGGCGCTGCTGATCTTCCTGTCCGGGCTCAACTACGACACGTACCTGACGCCCGTCGTGCAGGGCACCGCGCTGACGCCAGGAACGGGCCGGTTCAGCGCGGGCGATTTCAAGGGGTACGCGGACAAGCTGGTGCTGGAGCTGCACAACTATGAGAATAGCATCGGGAGCTGTGACACGCTGAAAGGGAACCTGGAGAGGAACGGGTTTGAGGCGCTCAAGGGGGTCGGGGGCAGCGTGAAGAATGTGTTTCCGGTCATGATGACCGAGTTTGGGTTCCAGATGGATGACAAGACGTGGAAGGGGGTGTATGCGAGTTGTCTGGCCGGGTACTTGCCCAAGATCAAGGCCGGGTGGACGATCTGGGTGCTGGCGGGGAGTTATTACATCCGATCCGGGGTGCAGGACTATGAGGAGGGTTGGGGGCTGTTGAACCATGACTGGAGTGCGTGGCGGAGCCAGTCGTATGTGGACGGGGCGTTGAGGGCGATGATCAGGGACACGTTGAGCTAGGTGGATCTGACGCGTTGATCTCGACGAGAGGGTGGTTTGTTTGAAACAGGTAATGACTCCTGCAAGGATTGGAAGGTCAAAGGCTGTGCCTGTAGGTTCCACGCTATTCACTAGTCTCAGACTAGGTTGGGAGATGAAAAAAAAGACGCACATGCGTATTGAGTGTGCCGAAACACGGGATTGAACCGTGGACCTCATCATGTCGCAGTAGGGTACGAGTGATGCGCTCTACCACTGAGCTATTCCGGCAGCTGGTGATGGCGTTGAGGGTTAGTACCTCGCACCCGCTGTACTCGAACCTCCTGTCTTCCCACCCCCATTCCGTAGAAATTACCCCGTGGATAGTGGTGTCACCACAGCATGGTAACAACATGGTATTGCTCTGCACAGTTTTGTGGCTACTGGACAACCTCAAGACTCCACATGCTGTTGACAGTAGATCCTGACCGGCGGCAGGAGTTACAGAAGGCCCAAATGATATTATCTACATCGCGAAAGTTACAATACTACAAGACGGGTCTTGACTTGCTGGACGTCGTCCTCACACAAGTTACAACTTGGAACCCCAAACCCCCTATGCATACTTGGCAGTTCCTGGGGTCAGCGGCGAGACCTGCGACGTCCCAGCCGGCTCCCCAGCCATCCTAGCCAGAAAATTGTCATCCAACTCATGATACGTCGTCCTCCTCCACTTCCTGTCCGGCAACTCTGTGAGTGTGGTCGAGTCCTGCCCAGCCCCTTGCATCGGCAACTGCCACCCGCTCCCCGTAGTCGTCGCCGAGTGTGGCATGCCGTCCATCTCGACCGCCGACATGGACTGTTCGGGCAGCTCAACCTTGTCCTCCGGGTACGTGTAGCTGGGGGGTGGTTCGTCCACCATCTCTTCCTTGTCACGGGCTGCCCTCCTGCGTCGTCGGAGACACAGAAAGACCCCTATCCCCAACCCCAATACCACGATTGCGCAGCCAACCGCAATCCCGGCGACTGCCCCAGTCGACAGCCCACCACCACCACCGTCCTGCCCCTCCCCGGCCACGCTCGTCGCCGTGCTGCCCCGTCCCTGTGTAACTGTCGTCCGCACCGTCACCGTCCCGATCTGTAACCCCTCAATACTTGGCAGCACCGCCCCGGCCTCCACCAACCACCCCTTGGCCACATCCTTCGTGGGACACGCCACCACCCTCGTCGTCGTCGCGGCTGCGCTGCTCTCCCCCGTCCCCGTCCCCGTCGCCGTCACCGTCACCTTCGCCGCCGCCCCATACACCCCACTCAGCACCCCAAACTGCGCCAGCGTCTTGGCCTCCCCCTTCCCTGCACCACCGCCCTCATACTCCACGACCCCAAACTTACTCGCCCCGCTGCGCATCGCCCACTCAAACACGCTGACCCCACAAAACACATCCCGCATCTCCGGCCCGAGCACCAGACTCGCGTCCGCAAAGTCCCTGGCGCCCGTGTCGTCCGCGCTGCTGCCGCTGCCGCTGCTCCGGCACCCGGCCTCGGAAATCGCCACCGGCACCGGCAGGTCCAGCGCCGCGAACTGCGCGTGCAGCGCGCGCCAGTCGTCCGCACCGCAGCTGAGGAAGACGTTGAGTCCCAGTAGATCGATCGTGCCCGCCTGCCCTCCACCACCACCATCATCATCAATCCCACTGTCGCAAGTGAGGTACTGCGCGGTGAGGTCCCGAAGGGAAGCGACGTCGGCGGCGGAGTAGCTCAGCGGGATGGGGCGGTAGCCGCGGGCGGCGAGGAAGGCGTGGAGGTCGCGGGCGGCGGCCTTGAGGGCGGGCGCCGCGAGGGTGGAGGTGCTGTTTGCCGTGATGGTCTCCTGGCCGAGGCCGAGGGCGAGGGTGTTGGGGTGGAGGGCGAAGGCGTCGAGGACGGAGGTGTAGACGGCGTAGAGGGGGAGGGTCCATGGCGGGGTGGTTTGGGTCTGGTGAGAGGGGTGGTTGGTTGGTTGGTTGGTTGGGTTCGGGGTGTGAGTGGGGAGGGAAGGGGGGAACATGACATACCAAGCTGGTGACGCGGGGAAAGGAGCCCAGCTGGAGCCAGACGTAGATGCCCTGGTCGGCGAAAGCTTTCATGCACCCCTCATGGTCCTGCTCGCTGTCGACCCAGTAGACGTAGATGGTGTTGATGCTGGCCGTCTTCATCAGGGTCGCGTCGGCTTGGCATCGTTTGGTGTCCAGGAGAGGGTCTGGGTCATCGTCGCCAAAGGTGTAGGCGACACCTGGACGCAGTTGGTAAGTGCTTGACGGATTGGCTCGAGTTTTGGTGGGTTTGTGACTGTACCTCTGATGAAGAACTGGTTGCCGTCATCGTCAAAGAGTTTTGTGCCCTTGACTGAGATCGGGGAGAGAGCCTCGACGAACCCTGATGTGAGAAAAACAAGGAGTGAGAGCAGAGAGGTAATCATGATGTTCAGTGACATCCATGAACACCTGTTGGAGAAAACGGCATCGGCGGGTGGGTCTCTAGGCGCAACCGGAACTAACCAACATCGGCTCGCTACACAGTATGCACAAGAAATGGTGTTGGTTAGGAACGTCAGGGAAGAGTATATGACTGGGCACCAGACTGAAGGACCCAGGAGGCGTGGGACGCCATGTTCCGTGCCGCTTCGTGGAGCAGGATTCTCGATTCTCTTTTCCATGAAGCGGCGGACAGGGATCAAAAGACACCAGACATGTGGGTCGAATAAGATTGACCCAGAAAGACGTCCCTGTCGTTGCCCAGGCGCTTGCCTCGGGCGCCTGGGGCCATGTGAAACGCATGGTCGCGGCGTGTAAGCCGCCCGCCGCGCATGGCGCGCTTGGCACCGCAGGTCTGGAGCATCAGCCTCGCAAAGTTTACCAGATGGTGCTCGAGTATGTGCTTATGATGTCGAATATACCCTTTACGCATCCCTGACTCTCCTGGGTGTTGCAGGAAACTTGACAGCGGTTTGCCGTAGTACTTGATTTGATGAAGCATCCACGACGGCCGTGGCATGTTGCCCTGACCTCCTGAGTGTAATGTGAGCAGTGGAGAAGGAAATATGACTGCGCCGCGAAGAATGATGCCAAGCCCGACGAAATCGACTCTCCCCCGCTGCCGCCGGGGGCATCAAAGCCTTGGCTGCGGTCCACCACCGTCCACCAGTCCTCGGCGCGCTGATGATCGACACCCCAAATCGCCTCCTCTTTGTTGATCTGTGCTGGGATGAGGTGTGCCTTGACCTCGTGCCACCTGAGCCTCTTTTTTAGGCTTATAAAAGATAGTTGCTGGCAGGCTCGCAACTTTCTTCGCGCTTGGGTGTGGAGTTAACTGGCTCCGCTCGATGTAACATCGGAACGGACCTGAACAAGGCGGGCCGAGTCGCGCGAGATCAGCAACTTTTCAGGGCCCAGGGTGAGAACAAGGAGGGGGGGCCACAGGGGGCGGCCCTGCCCAAACAATGCAGGACCAAGATGCAGTCAACATATGGGCAGGTTTTGGTGCCTCACAGTGACAGCACAGAGCGGCACCCGCGACAGAGCGAGGAACCCGGCTTCCTGGAGGGGGGAGAAGACGATGTGGCTGGATGGGATGCAAGCCCCTTGACGCCACGGCACGATGTCAACCCCGGCTAGAAACACCGATGTACAAGACAGGTCCCGTTCAAAACCAAAAATGTTTGATTCAGGGCTGCAACATAGCATCTGCTGACAGGAGTCACTACATACATGCGAACGACCCGCACAATAACGTCTACCCCTGAGTTTGTGTGTGTAGCTCGGGCAGTTGTAATGTAGCGGAATGCAGAACCACGAGAAGGGTTCCTGACGATTCTACACACCTCTTGTCTCCCGATCAGCAATCCGTATCGACACCATGGGATCGGCAGCAGTTGTTGAATCTGCCACTGCCCTGGGGAAGGGTGCTGAAGGCACAGTCGTCGATGACGAAGACTCCGCCCGCTTCACCGCAGCAGCTGCGGGTAGTGTCGACCACGTTGTAACCGTTCCATTTGCACTTGCATGCAAGCGTGGGGCCGGTGAGAAGTGCGGTGACGGCAACGGACAGGATGGTGAAGAGCTTCATGTTGGCTTGGGAGTTGTGTCACTTGTGTCACTTGTGTCTGGTATCAGGAAAGTTGTCGAAAAGTGAAGTCTGATGGCGGGCGAAAAGCCTGTGAGTGCGTGAGGGGAGATGCTCCAGACTGGAACTTTATATCTCAAGCTGGGAATCAGCATATGTTGTAATCCCCTCCGACGCAGTTGTCATGACAGGCAAAGAAGACTAATGGCCCCCAAGCACTATACCACACATTGGTGCTCTCGATCCTACACTCACGCTTAGACAATGTTGTCCTACTGATTTAGATGAGCATTGCCTCCTTCATTCTGCAACGGTTGTACTACACTGTAGAACATATTGCCGACCTGTTATTGCAATCTTCGACCTTGTCCGAAGGATCGAACATGTTTTGAGGTTCCTTCGTGTTGAAGTACCTATCGAACTGCCTTCCAGGTTTCTTCCGCCCCGAAAGAGTCAACTTACCGCTGCCGAAGGAAAAGCCCGAAGTATGTCAGCGACACTCGTTCCATGCAGTAATATCAACATACGCACTGTTCTCTTGCCACCATTTGTTTATACATTTCATTTCATGCCTAAGACTTTGTACAACCGTTGCAATCATCATCCTCTTCACACCGTTCAAGACCCCCAGTTTGGTTTCGACAAAGATTTCCTCACATGGCACGCAACCGCGGTAGATCAAAACCAACAATTGCTAGAAAGGGGAAAAAGCGAAAAACTTCAGTGGGAACTCATTGTCTGGGTATAAGTCTGGATATGAGCACCGGTGATAGAACAAGTCGATTAAGAGGGAAGAAAAAAAAAGAATATTGTTCAGCACTCGAGACTTCTTGCGGCGTCGGATGGTTTGGCTGGTGCTCTTTGCAGTCTGGCTCTTGCTCACGCTCCGCAGAAACAACGGGATTGGCCCCCAACAGGGCAATATAACATGCCGCTGCTGGGTGGCTTGTTGCATGCTTAGGTACTTTGGAAGTGTGAGGCTGCCAAGATCATTCCCCGCGCATGGCGAGCTGATCTGTCTCGGAAGCAAACATCCTGGGCGCCTTCGAAACTGCTAGTGCTAGGGATGACCAACGGAAGGGTGTGGGTTGGGGGCTGGACTCAGGGTGTTTGTTGAGGGTGTTAAGGAACAGCGGGGCAGAGAAACCTCCGAACAACAGCTACATCAGATGCCCCGGTCAGTATTGCTC